CACCACCACGCAACGGAGCGATCGATCTCCTTCATCGTCTTCAACCATGTCTGTGCTTGATGGTCTGTCCTCACAACGAACTGCTTTCCATCAAGTAGTGCTTAAAATGTCTGGCTATTGCATCAATAGCACTGCACTCGTCTGTTTCATCTTTTTGCCTTGACATGAGCTAGCATCCGCAATCACACGTTCTCTCTCGTCTTTGTCTCGCTTGCGTCTGTGTCCAGCACGAAAGGAGGAGCCTCGGCATTGCAGTTTGGTAAAGACAAGAATGGTGCTGCACAGACAGCACGCTTCAACTCCTTAAACACTTCTGTATATTCGCTTCCCCAATGAAACTCCTTTTTTGCCTTTTTCACTATCAGCTTGCATTGAGGACTTACTAACTTGGCGAAACCTCCTGCAATACGCCGATAATAGTTAGCCAAAATAAGGAAGCTACGAAGTTCCGTTTGATTTGTAGGTGTCGGCCAAGTCCTTACTTCTCTTGATCTGTCTTCGGTGACTGCCATCCCGTCTGCAGAACATGTGTGTCCCCGGAACGTTACCGACTTTTGGAGAAAATTGCATTTCTTCGGATTCATCGTCAGACCCGCTTCCCAAAGTCGATCCAGTACTAATCGGAGGTTGGAGTTATGTTGTTTGATGTCTTCCCCGAAAACGAGAATGTCGTCTAGATAGATAATGCAGTGTTTTGGGAAAAGGCTATGCAATGACGTCTGCATAAGGCGCTGAAAGTTGGCCGCCGCGTTGCAAATCACAAAGGGCATCGTTTGGGACTCATGTAGTACATTTGGCTTAATGTAGGCTGTTTTTTCTCCATCCTTCTCCGCCACCTCTATCTGCCAGTAGCCGGATTTCAGATCCAATGTAGAGAACCCCTTCGCTTCTTGCAGAGAGTCTAACGAGTCGTTAATGTGGGTTAGGGGGAAGGCGTCCTTCTTTTTAACAAATGCGATTGGGGAGGCCCAGGGTGACTGGCAGGGCCTGATAGCGTTATTGCGCAGCATGTCGTCAATCAATCGATGTACTTCGTCTTGGAGAGGTGGTGGTATGCGTCTAGGCGGCTGCCAGACCGGTTTGGCCTCACCAGCATCGATCCTCTGTTTGACTACGTTTGTTCGTCCAAGTTTCACGCCCTCCCAGGAGAACGTTTGTGAGGAATTTCTTAAGAGTGGGTGCAGTTCCTTCCCCTCAGCCTCAGCAACCTGCTTTAGCTGAGCGCAGAGATCGTTTAGATTGGTCCCGGCGACGGCAATCGCTTAAGGATCGGACGATTCTTCTTGGACCTTCGATGGGTTGTGAGCATGTCTGTATGGAAGTCCATAGTCGCGCGGGACTGGCGTAAGAAGTCAGCACAAAATTCACCTCCCACCTATCCTTCCCGATTGAGACTCTGATAGGGCTTTTCCTATTACCGAGATTTCTTTTCCTTCTGCAGAGCGTAGTATGGTGGCCGGTGGGGTAATGTTAACCATCCTGCAAAACATGGGGAAGGCTTGTGAGTTTAGTAGGGAACAGGCTGCCCCGAGTCCAGAAGGAAAGAGCATGTATAACCTTCTATCTTGCTCCGTACACGCATAAAAGTAGGAGATCGTGAGGAAAGGAGATGCGACAAAGAAAATTCTGTCTCATTTTACACTGAGGGATCGCTTCGGAGCGCGCGCCTTTGCCCGCCAGTAGTTGGCCGTCTTTTAGAATTCCGTGGGCCAAACCGAGTGTTGAACTCCGTTGAGAATTGGAGCTCCTGGAGCTTGGAGACTAACGCGTCAATGAAATGGCTCAATCTGCTGGTTCTCATGAGGGTCAGTTGCAGTAGGTTTAGTTGGCGTAAAATACAGGAAGAATGGGGATTGGAGTATAGATGGGCTGAATAGAAGGTATCAACCAGAGAGACTCCTCATAGTCCTCATGCACGGAATTCGCGTTCCAATTAAGTTTCCGCCTCTCCTGTGTAAAGGTCAACTAGAGTATATATTGCATCTCAAGACTTTCCATAGGATGTAAGAAGACAATAAGTGAGGCTAGGTGCAAGTATCCCGAAAAAAAACAGAGCAAATGGGCCTAAGCATGACCCAAAGGCCATCCTACGTGTACAAGGTGTAGTGTCCCGAGACTTCCTAACTGGTATAAGAAGTCGCTAAGTGCAGCTGGGTAAATTTATTATGAATACGATAGGATAAATGGGTCTGGGCATAACAAGAAAGCCAACCCACGTGTTCAAGGACTGGACAAATCCTAAACTGACAGTTAAACGTCACGTATTCACATAAAGCGTTACACCTATGTTCCCCTGAGGATGTCTCTTCGCGCTCCTCGAGAACGGGGTTTCATGTTCGATTCCTAAACCACTTTTTATCCATATAAGCAATCTAATCACATAAACAAGGGTAAAATTATAGCACTGATAAAGTTTCTTCATTAAATATCCTAGGCAGTATACTACATTGGATAGGAGCAAATCACTAAATGAAATTGTTCCACAAGATGTATTGTAGTATTTTACTTTTTATGCAGTTTGTTTTTACTTTTAGGATGAATCTGTTTCGTTAGTTTTGTATTTGACTAAATAGGCGTTTCTGAATATCTTTAAGGTCATACACATATGGGAAGTGTCTAGTAGTTGCCTCTAGGGGTTATTGAGTTCGAGTTGTAGATGTAGTAGGTTCGCGAGTAATTTTAGCAAGAGTATGACAAGCGACGATTCAGTTTATCAGAAAGAATGTTGTCCAAATGACCAGAAGGTTAATCATGTCTCCGAACTCTCCGGTTTGATTAACTACGAACGGAAAGTGATACTGAGGGAGATTCGCTCGCGCCTGCTCCGTCTCAAAAGCATCGTTGACAAAAAGATGGTAACTTTCCACATAATTAGGCCACGTTCCACAGACCCTCAATATTCCAGTTAACAAGCAGGAGTTGGCATGCTTACAGCGCTTTTCCTTTGTTTTTGATGATATCGACGCACTTGAAGCAAGTTCCCAGAAAATTGCGGAGAAAGTAATCAAAGCTGTTGAAATAGGAGACAGTGACTCACTTGTTAATATTGAAATTTTCCCTCGTAAGTTTCTGATCAGTCCTCTGAGTTCTAGGTGTTGAGTCTCCACTTTCTCCAAGCAATGAAGACCTTGATTTGGGCGTTTTAATTTCCGATTATGTTCAAGAAAATCAGTTCGGTTTATTCGGAGACACATTGAAGGGAATTCGTGTTTCTGACATAATTGCAGCTGTTGATATGGAAAATGGGAATACGAAAGTTGGAAAGAAAGTTAAAAGGAAGACTGGTCGAACCAAAGGTGTGATCAAGCGGAATGCTCAGCCGCCAGCAAAGAAAGCGAGAAGCAGGTATGCCATAACAACAATATCTTTGAGGATAAGGCTGTGCACTCCTTTCCGTTTTTACGCTGGAACGTTTTCTTTTGCCTTGAAGGGAGCAATTACGAAGTTTGCCACCTCTGCTGACACAGTAAGCTTTTATTGTTTTCGATTGTGAAGTCATCTTAAAACCACCTTAACCTTCGCCTCATTTCCTTGTTATAGATATGTGCGTGGATTTTTCAATGTCCTTCGAATAGTTCTTCTCACCTTGGGGGATGCTGGTGGAGGTCTCTCTACGGAACAGCTCTGCGACATCGTTCATTCCTGGAATTCCAATCCTCGTGTCCAGCGAACTAACTCGTCGTGGATAGCTAAGGTATGATGTTATTCAGCATTATTGAAAGTAAATTTTAAGCGTTTGCCGGTAGTAGTGTTCATATAAGATCCCTTGGCTCCCATTTAATTTCTTCTTTACACTTAAACGCAAAGGAATATCTAATGACGGTTAATCTGTTATTACGCTAGCAAAAAATCTGAGATTGCGAAGCTGATTATTCTTGAACATCTCGATCACGAATACTTCGAAATAATAGACCCATTTACGCTTAATAGCCACAGATTAAGTGGTCTTGAATCGACTTTTTTCCGCTTTTGAACGAAAAAGCTGCGTAGTTTTAACTGATTGGTGCCAGTTATTTTGCGGCTATCGGTGGATGCTCCTGCTATTCATGTTTAGCCTTTGTTACAAAAGATGAACCATTGAATCCGTCCTCCTTTCCTTATTCTGATAGTAGCTATTTGGGGGTAGTTTTTTGGTAAATACCCCATATTGAACCTTTACCATGTTTCTGGAGGGTCCTCACTACTTTGGTTGATGGTCGTTTGGCACTTCTTTTAAAGCCTGTTGCGATTGCTAATCCATAGGATCAATCATAGCTGCCGACGTTTGCCTTGGGGTTGTTTATGACTTCTTACCTAAATTAGTTCCTTCATCTCCCAGTGTACCGATTGGTCAGAATTGGTGAGACCTGCGCTGGTCCTTCTCTCCAGCAGATCCGCCTTGTCTGGGCTGCATCGTACTGCCTCTAAGGAAGGCCATGGGTCAGTAGATCCGGGCCACCTTCCGCCTCCAGCTTTTGTGGTTTTCAACGGTGTCTCGCGGACTTGGTGTTGGGTGGATAATGGATTGGAAGAGGAGAATGAAACGGCCCTCCTTTCGCGTCTCTTCGCTCTCTGGATGAAAAAGAATGGCACCTTAAGCCAACATCCTCGATCTCATTTGGATGGAGCTGTCAAGGAGGAGGCAGAGGATGAAGATGCAGCCGAAGATGAGGAGGAGAGGTCTCGTCGAAGACCATCACGCATCCATCGCGTACCTCCTCCCCATTTGTGAGTCACGAGTCTCAAACGATCACAGCTTAAAACCAATACTTTTTAACAGAACAGGTTATAAAGTAATAAATGGGTTGAAATGTGACTGAAGTGTTTTCACAATCTTGAATGGGCATTTAATCAGTACTATAAGTTTAGAAACCTTTCGTTCCACCTTCGTTGACAACTAACTTGATGTACCGTCGCGTCGCGCTGAGTTGCTACTTTGTGCTTTTTTTTTTATTTCGCTGCATACTTATTTTACCTTTTACAAATAAGCATGAACTACTCGGAAACGACGTCGGCTACTCACCAAATTGCCGCTTTTGAAAGGACTCACTGGAGCAGTGAAGGGCATTTAAAATCCATTAACCAAGTAGAACCAGAGTACTTTACGTGGTCTGCATTCGATTTTTATTGTCGTTAAGGCTAAATGAAACTTTGGTTTTAATTTTGCTCTTCCATATTTGTTTGTAGTGCTACGGACTGGCAATGCAAACTGTCTACCCCCGAACAGCGACGCATATTTCAACGCCAGGTAAGTTTGTAGCAGTTGCAATTCAATTTTTGTCTGGCCTACACTTAGAATCATCCACTCTTGCCCTTATCAAAGGTGTCGCCATTGCGTTGAGTTGTCTTGACTTTTCCTACTGACGAAAGGATAGGTAACACGAAAATCTAACATCCGACATTGTTTGACCTCTCACGGCCACGTTCGCCGTTGAGGTTAAATTGAAGCAGGACACCTTCCAGTTAACGTGTTTGCGACAACTTTGTGTCAACTTAGAGGTGGAGATTTCCGAAAAGGTACGCCTCGAAAACCATCCTCGTGACATGGGATTCGTGTGACCCCTTTTCCAAGGTCAATCGATTTGAGGTGAGAGGGAGGGGGTGTTTTTAAAATTGCGTGCGGCTCTCTAGCCAGTGTGTGAGAGCGGTGATAGCCATGTCGGAAGGCGGTTGCCCACCTTCAGAAAAAAAACCCGACAGTTGCTCCCCCCCACCACAATCGAGTGGATGTTCAAGCAAACCCAGGAGTAGAAGCAGAAGTAGGAGCGGGAGCAGAAGTAGAAAGAGCAGTCAATGTAGTAGTGGAAGTGCAAGAAGAAGCACATCCAAACGAAGGAGGGTTGGAAGTCCATCCAGAGTTCGCAGCACTGCTGCGTGCAGAAGTAGGTCGCAATCACCTGCGCGAGTAGTCCCAAGGCGTTCGCAAAGAGTCAAGAAACAGACGCAGATATTTTCATCGGGGTCGTATGTAGTCGACTGTGGCTCCAGTAGGACTCGACGATCCAATGCACGAAGGAAATCTAAAGGAGCTAATTGTCGTCCCTGTCGGACCCCAAAGCCGAGAAGACGGAGTAGATCACGTTCGGAGGCATGCTCTCCCAAACCGAAACGGCCAAAAATGCCGCGCACGTGTTGAGGGTGTATTAATCATCAAAGATTTATGAGTTGACTGAAATGTGTGGTGAAGAAGTATTTTCTTGCAAGCAAAATACAAAACTGCGCAAATTACTGTGTGTTGCGTTGTCAGTGCAGCGCTACTGCCAAGTACATGGTTCTATTTGAGTAGTCTGTTCTTTTTTTTTCATTTCCTATCACCTTACTGGGTTGGTTTTTGTGGCTACTCTCGACTACTAATCCTTCCTTAGTGGCGTACGACGCTTTACAATTGTCAGTTAATTTAACTTTTCGTTGGGCTCGACCGCATTGAGGAGTTGGGTGTGGAGGGTAGCTGAAAACTTGCTTAATGATTTAAGTTGAATTTTGTCATTTTAAGATCTACTCGAGTTGTTGCCTTCTAAGAGATCATCCGGCTGGGTGATAATCGCCCTGTGTCATCCATTTCCTGCGAAGAGCTTTCTTTCAATCGAGGTCTCCTTCACTCCCCTCCCCTTCGGACAGGCCGAGTGTTTACTTAAATGCTTCTTGAGCGTCTAAGTAGGTTTTGTCCCGTTCTTAGAGTGTATTGCAGTCGATGCTACGCCTGGAAGTTTTGGAAGGTCGGTTTGAGAAGCGAGCTAAACAAAGTCCCATGCCATTAAGGTGATCATCACATCCCACGAAGAATGATGAGCTGATATGTGGAATTGTGAATTATTTATTACATCTGAGTGTGTGGGCATGATTGCGTAGGAGGAGGAACGTTACTCGCGCCCTTGGGAGCCCTTCATCTACAATCAACATGGCTACGCGGCTGTAGTGGGTCCAGTGTTGAGAGCTGTGGGTGGTGAAGGCGGCAGCCGCATGCGCACGGCGTTGTCGGCCCGTGAGCATCCATTGCTCCGCCCCAATCGACCGCCTTGGGTATCTCTCTCCGAGATTGTTAGGGATGCCGTAGCTCGACTACCCAATGGTGAAGGTACTCGACCCGAGATCGCTATGCTGGTGCAGGACAGTGGCTTCCTCGTCTCTTCCTTCAGTCCAAAGCAGGTTTGTTGCATTTACTTCTCGCGACTTGATCTATGCCATCATGGAACTTATCCGGTTCACATTTGTTCTTAGTTGAATCAGTGTATCAGTTCAGCCCTGGACAGACTGCAAAGTGAGGGAGCAAATTCACCGGTTATGTATGATCCTGTCCAGCGTCTCTGGATCTACCGATTTCGACATCTCTCTCCGCCCGACTTCTGTGAGTTACCCACCTTCTAAATGCTTCTCTAAATGTGTCTTTTAGAACGGTATTTCACTATTGCTGACAAAGAGTCACCATTTCCTCGTGGTGAACAATATCTTTTAACTAGAGTCTTGTTGGCATTACCTCTTTAGACCTCAATTCTGCTCTTCTCGCATGCTTTCTTTATGCTACTTATTGGTAGATTTCCCCATTTAAGTAGCAATTCATTACGCCCTTGTTAGGTCGCCTCTACAAGGACCAAATTGCCTTCCAACGCGAGCGCTTCTTCCAGATGTATCCAGGAGGTGGCTATCGACGTCCAACGGGTCGTTCGCAGCCGAGGAGACGTCGTGAGGAGCCGTTAGACGATCAGCATATTCCTGACATTGAAGAATTGACTCGCGAGGAGGAGGAGATGGAGGAAGGGGATGAGGAATACTATTCTTCATCGACAGATGACGGTAGCAGGGAGGCAGTTGGTGCCTCCATGCCATTCTTCTCGCAGCCACGAAGAATGCGTCTTGAGTATAAACATCAACACCACACCCACCACTCGGAGCAGTTGTGATGCTATTCCAGCACCACCTTTAGCCTCTATTATGAATGTGTACTTAGTGATGGCATTTTTTAAAAATATTCAATCCTGCTTTTGATGTCATTAATGCTGAGGTTAGAGTTTTGGACTTCCACACTTAGAAATGCGACGTATTAAAGCAATGTTTCACGTCACGTTGACATCAATAACGTGGCGAGTGCCGCTCCGTAATGGTGGTCTCGGTTGTAATGTGGTTTCTGGGCGCTGCTTTGAGGGTACAAATCAAACGAGAAGTTGCCTATTCGTGAGTCGTAGAATCGATGCGCCTAGGTTGGTGGTGCTGACGGGAGCATAAGGATCCACAAAGTTTTCGCATGATTCCGGAGCCCTTTTTTTCTACCGTCCATACTGGCGAAACGAGGGCTCCAGGGGAACCAACGTCGTCGAGATGGTACATCTAGCAACTAAAACTGTGACTCATCCGTTGAGAAGTGTTACTGCGGTTGCAGGAGTCGAACTGGCGATAGTCGCTTGAAACAGGAGTCGAGAATACGCATGTAGGGCTTTCTGCTGGAGGTGCAGGGATCTACGCTTCCACAATTGTTGAAAAAAGGGGGTGTTTTGGGTGGGTGAAACCCTTTTATTAACAAGGTAATGGGGTTGAATTTCAGATTTTCTACCTAAGGGAGGGAAACCTTCGTTCTTTGAAATGAGAACCGTCCAATTTTAAGCTAGAGGATAAGAAGAGGTATCAAGGATGTACAGTCAATTTTATTGTATCTTTTTAATTGAATCAATGTCAGGAGCGTCTCCAGAGACGGAATTAACTAAAAGAATTGGCTCCACCCCTACACGGCTAACCGAGCCATCTTCACACGTGAGAGACGTTTCCATTTCAATATTAACCTCATCATCATTTGAGGCGTCACTTAAGAAACTCGATTGTGGGTGTTCTCTCAGGCGACTTGAGGTGTTCGAGCTGTTACGATTGTATCCACGACCTTGTAATAGGCAGCGATAATTAGGATAACGGTTGGATTTGAGAGGACGTGGACGCAATCTCGATTTCCAGTCACCCGAGCTATTTTGACTGCAAGCTTGCCGACGATTTGCTTTGCGTCGAAGTGGGGTGGAGGAGGCGAAGCTACATTTTAGAGGCACGCTTTCGCAACTCGTTGACTTTCGGACGCAAGAACTTAAGGAAGAATCGGATGATCTTGGTGATGATTGACACGACACTATCTGTCTCCTTGTCTTCTTGTGAGGAGTGCATTTGTTTAGTTGCTTGGGGACTGCTCTCTTAGTGCACCCACTCTGCCTCCTAACTCGTGCTTTCCCGGACATTAGCAGAGGCCTTTTTCTTATCTTCATCGGTTGATTACATCGTTTCGAAGCATATCGAAGTAGGTAGTTCCGAGTACGTTTTTTAAAACGTTGAAACAATTTGTTCATGGCTGAGACACCTCTTGGCTTTCGTTGATTTACCGTCGATGAGCATTTGGATTTGTTGGTCTTGCGCCTTTTTGTCATTGATGGAGAACACGGAGGCAGAGTGTCAACTACGCGCTGGCGTTTTTTAGTTTTTGTGTCGCACTTTGACGTAAAGTTTGGATTCCGTAGCGTAGAATCACACATCCTCCACTCGAAGTACCAGGACACCACTGTATCGACCAGACCACGAGATTCGACAACACGTGATGCACTTGATGTCCATTTTGGACTTAACTGATCGTAGATAAAGGCGCATCCGCATTGTAAGTTGGACGTTTGATAGAGGGGAGTGCAATATATATATTAGTTTGTTTAAACGGACCTTTATAGGAAGGAGGCGGGAACCAATTGGGAAGCGAATCACGTGCGTGAAGACGATGATGAGTCTCTCTCTAGTTGACACCTCCTGTTCGGCTCATCTGCACTCCAATTCCCATTCTTTCTGTAACAAATTCCAAATAAATCATCTTGAAGTCTGATGTTTAAGGATCAGACGATAGGCAGGTAGCTCTTACGAGGGGGCTAGTATAATGTGGTAAAAATGCAGCATAAGACTTGGAATATTTTCATATAAGACACTTTTGCACCGAAAGTATTTACTAAATGTAATATCTTAGAAACTCACGCTAGCGCGAATAACAACGGTACAAGTTATAAGACAAAAAAGGGAAGAGTGAGCGCGAAAAATATAATTGATTAACAGGAAAAATTGTATTACAACTTGCGGTACAGCAAATAGGAAGTGTGTGAGCTGTTATATAACTACCCAATTTTTACTAATTGTATAAGGTCATTTGTTTGCGCCGTGTGTTGATTATCGACATATTGCAACTTCGTTTGCTGTGGTAAATGTTGCTGGGGTTTTGAAGGGGATTGTGTAGTACACTCGCTATCACTCTGGCATATTTTTCCCGAATTCCTACGGTACATTTGATGGTCACTATTTAAGTGTTTTGCGGTAGGAAAGGGATTCTGTGCAACTCGATCCAAGACTGCTTACTCTTTTTCTTTATTAATTCAGATGCGTTTCTTCAAAGCATTTGGAGTAATGAGGTACACAATGTGCTGTAGCATAGTTAAAACGCTGTAATCTGGTGGTCATTTTCATCCATCTTAATGATGAAATTATTACTGCGTAACATGGCTTACGGCTGCTTTGGAAAATTCATGATTACTGCGTGATTCCGGTATTCAGTTTTCCCAGTATCCATTACCTTTCTGAGGGCTAAATTTGCATTAGGTTTGTTTTTTTCATTAGAGGATTTTGCTCCTACTACTTGGAAATGCAGCCTGAGGACCCAGCTGGATTGTCTAACTCCAGCTCTTCATCATCCGATTCTGAAGAGATTGAAGCGGAAGCTTTGGAAGCTGAGGTTTCCGCACTTACTCAACAGGTTGGTTTGGAAATTTATGGACTCTTCGGGTCTTCTTTTCTTGTTAAGTTGGTCTTTGTCTGCATTCTTTGCAGCTTGAGAGGAATCCATATTTCTATGACGCTCACGTGCGCAGAATATCTCTTCTCCGAAAAGCCGGTGAACTTGACAGGCTCCGAGGGGCACGTGAAATTATGTCCAAATACTTTCCTCTTACGCCTAGTATGTCACTTTACTTCAAATTTGAATATGTTTCATAGTACGGCCATAGGTGGTCTTTTGGCTTTCAGAGATGTGGCTGCAGTGGACTGAAGATGAGGCATCTCTTGTCACAGAAGGCGGTGATCGGGAACCTGTATATCAGCTCTTTAAAAGAGCTCTAGCTGACTATCAAAGTGAGCTTCATGTTTTATCTTGTGTTTCTTCGTTACATTAAAAAATGATTTTTCGTAGAGGTATGCTATCACATAGGTATGGAGAACTCCCACTTCGTGAATCCAGCTATTCATGTCTTAGTTTTTTGGTATGCAGGTGTTGATGTCTGGCTAGAATATTGTGAATATGCAATCGGCGGAATTGGCACAGGTGAGACTGCAGAGCTTGACCGCATCCGTGGCGTGCTGGAGGAGGCAGTGGCTAATCAGGGCCTCAACTTTGCCCATGGTACACTCCTCTTTGAGGTGTATCGCGAGTTCGAGACAATCTGCCTCGCTCAATTGCAGGCTAAGAAGGTGAGTCAAATGTTATTTAGTTTTTCACTGCCTCTAAAAATATTGGTAGGATCCTGTGGCAGTTGCTAATCAGTTGAAGAGAATTGAAGGTCTCTTTCGGCGTCAATTAAGCATACCACATGCTGGTAAGTGTTCGCCTCTTGAAATAGTCAACGCTTCCAGATATGAATCGAACAATGGAGGAGTACAAGACCTTCTTGGAGGAAATGGCAGAGGGCAGTGATGGCGGATTGACTGACGACTTCAAGGCAGTCTTTGAATCAGCTCAAGCAAAGTGGCGAGAAGTGGAGAGTTTCGAGGCAGATGTTGTGGACAAGACTGATGAGAGCGTCCTCCTCTTAACTTGGCAGAATTACCTCTCTTGGGCGGTAGAACATGCCTGTCGCAAGGGCACTCGCGCGAATTTCTTGAAGGCAGCCGCAGGTGAAACTGAAGTCACCTTCACACCAATGGAGATCATCTGCCTTTTCGAACGCGCTGTCACCGACCTCTGTCTCCAGGCCTCTATATGGCTACGAATGGCTGACTACTTGGAGGCGCACGTGTCGGCTGATCAACAGCGTCTCATCAACACTCTAGCACGTGCCGTGCGTAATATACCGTGGAGCAATGAGCTGTGGCGCCGTTACGCACTGGCCTGCGAAGCGCGTGCGTGGGATCCGGCTAATGCAGAGAACTCCTCCTCATCTAACATGGATGGTGCCTCAGTGGATCATTCGAAGTCGTATCTCCCTGGGCACTTCGAATCAGCTAGAGGCAAGTTTCTGCTGCCTTTTAACATCACTACTTTTGCCTTGATAATCGCGAGTCGTGCTTCATCCTCCAATGCGTCTTTTTGGATTCTTCAGAGGTCTATGAAAATGCCTTGAAGTGCAGCTATTCGACAGCAAGTGATTTACTTGCTGTTTGGTCGGCTTACTTTGATTTCCTGCTACGTATCATTTGCAACTCGAATGACCAACATCTCAAAGGTACCCATAAATGTTAGTTGACCTGTTTGCTTTCATCTCCCACTTGTTTTTCATACCTTTCTTTCCCCAACGCAGAAAGATGTACCAAAATGTTGCGCAATACCTTTGAACGAGCCAAAAGTCACATATCCACCGGTGAGTCAGTTAATTCTTAGAAAAAGAAACGATTACGCAATTTCTTTGAACTAATTTCGCGAGTCTGATTTGTTGCTCCAGCCTTCCCTGATCATGCTGAACATATTTGCTCCATCTACCACTACTGGGCCTTTGTCGAGGTGGGCGATTTGAACGCTTGAAAAGGGAGATTTTTAGTGTCAAATGATTATAATGCTTTGATTGTTATCGTTTCTCGTCCCTCCTAGGCAAAATGGCTTGAAAACAAGGAGCGCTCTCGGGAGCTGTGGAAGGCCATGTCAAAGATGAGCAGTAATGGCAAAAAACCTGGCTTTTGGACAGCCTATTTGGAATTTGTAAAGTGAATTCCTCATCCTTGCGCCGATTTTGTATTTATTGTTGCTCTTTGAAGGTGGGTCAAGATGACTTCTCATTGTGTTTGTTTTTTGTGTGGAGGAGTTACGACAATGCGGATGAAGTGGTGCGTGTAGCAGGAATGGCAGCCAACTCGGTGACCGGTGAATTCGCGGAGTCACTTATTGAGGCGGCCCGTCGGTGTCTGGCGGAGAGTGGTGTGGATTTTAAACGTTCACGTGAATTTAGCCTTAAGGTGGCTCAACGTCAAGTGCGTACTGACATTCCGGAGGCCGTGGAAGATGTGGAGCAGGAGGCTAGTGTGAATACTTTGCCCTATCGTCAGGTAGTTGCCTCTCGAAGTTCAGCACAGACGTAGCTTTGTGCTTGCTTTGACACCTCCCCTTATTGTTCTGTTGTCTTCAACTACAGCGGCCCAACCGTCCGAATGCATTGGCGGAGAAAGTTTCAAAAGGACGGAAACGGAAAGTGGACGAAAACACACCTTCACTGACGGCGGCAGCTGCCAAACGTCAGAAGGTACAGGTAAGCATGGATCTTATTCCCCAGGTGACCCTGTCAACAGCATCTTCTCTCCATCTGTTCAATCTACGTTAGGATTTCTCTTCGTTTTCAATATTTTACGAGGAGGGCGGGGCGAGAACTGTTTGAATGAATTTTAGGCGGATATTGAAGAAAGTGCGAAAAAGGATGTTGTTGATGAAACGGAAAAGGCAAGTCTGCCGAAGCACGGCGAAACTGTCATTCATGATCCCTCCAAAGATGATCAGACTGTCTTTGTTAGCAACCTGCCGTTCTCCACAAACGAGGAGGAGTTACAGTCCATCTTTGCCAAGGTGAGTTGTGAAGGGAGAGAAAGATGTTCTTTCTCGATTTTTATGCCCTTCCACTTCAGGTTTTTGATAAGGAGCATGTGGAGTGAGTGGGTGGAGAGGTGTTGTTCGATTTCCGTCTCCTCAAAACAACCTTGTCAGGTTGGCTTCACACCTTGTGTTAGTGCCTCGTCACTCCTCAGTCGCCATCTCCCGTTAGTGGCTGGCGCAGGTACAGGCATATATCATTTTCTAGCGCAACTTAAACTATTTTACATTAGCACAGCATTGGAGTTGGCATCAAAAGCGAGCTTGGTTTCCACATGCCTCGAACCGTAAATCATCGAAACTTCAGTCACTGATAGGACGGGTTATTGAAGACAATCCATCCATACACACGACTTCATTTTTAGCATCAAACGGAAAAAGGTGTTGATAGACGAATGGGAGGGAGGAGAGAGGTTAGCTGTCGTCCTGTCAAGTTTGTGACCAGAGCCTGACAGAAGGGTGAAAAACCAGACTATTAAGCCAGAATGTTCAAACTGAGGCCGAACAATTTCGTTGTGAGACGATTTCTTGCTGTATTGGTGTTGATGAATTTGCAGTGTGGTGAACTTGTCTCCATTCGGCTTGTGCGTGACTACGCGGGGAAGTCGAAAGGTTTTGGCTATGTGGAGTTTGCCGATGCAAGCAGCGTAGCCGCGGCCCTCGAACTTGATCGTCTGCCCATCGGCAGTGGCACTGGAGATGGTGGTGGTGGTGGTCGGCCAATGTTTGTATCAGTGTGCGATACGAATCGCTCGAAACCTGTCTTTGCTTATAAAACGGGGGTGCCCGAGCCCAACAAACTTTTCGTGCGCAATCTGGACAAGGTAACCACAGAAGAGGCTCTTCGCACCTTCTTCGGCAAGGTCAGTTTTTGCCCGTCAATTGCAGGATTTCTTGTTATTCCATGCACTTTCCTGCAGGTTTGAGTGAAATTGTGTTGTTTTAGTACGGTGAAGTGAGGAGCGTGCGCATAGTGACGTATCGCAACGGAGTGCCGAAGGGCCACGCCTACGTGGAGTTTGCGAGAGAGGAGGAAGCCAGTCGGGCTCTAGTAGCCACTGACGGAGTTGTTTTTGGCTCCAAAGCAATTTCCGTTGCTATCAGCAACCCACCACCGCGTTCAGCTGTACCAAGTATGCGCTCTTCCTCTGCCTCCAACCAAGGTGCTCCGAGACGCAAGTCGGCTCCATTGAATCCACCTTTGTAAGCAAAGTATTTCATGGCAATTTGAAAAGCAGGCGTGAGGATTGTGATGAGTGCCATGCATCTTTCTAGACGATCTAAAGCACATACCCAACTTTCCTTCATGCCGAGAGCGCTGCACCGCACCTCCGCAGGGACGTTATCGTCTCAGTCGTCTTCTGCCTTGCAGTCGGGGACAACTGCCGAATGCGGGAGATCCACACCACCAAAAAGCAACGCAGACTTCCGTAAAATGTTTTTAAATGAATAATCATGTGC